GGAACGTCCGTAGCTGGACGCAAGGACGATGGTCTGTAGTCGACGGACTGTTTATGATTTACAGACGCGTCTACAGCAAACGGGTACCACCGCTGTTCGCCCTCGGCCAGGTAGACCACATGTGACGTCACATGCAGAGGATCGTCAGATTGTCTTACGTCACCTCCGTAACCGATTTTTGACGGCTACATCAACCAGTAATGAACTGTTTAGGGGTAGACTGAGTGCGCAAACTGTTCAAAACCGTCTGAGAACTGCTCACCTTCAAGCACGACAGCCATACTGCGGGCCGATTCTGACTCAATTACACAGACGCCAACGTCAATTGTGGGCACAGAGACACTTACGATGGACTCAGAGGAATTGGAATCAAGTTGTCTTCAGTGATGAATCCCGATTTAATCTTCGATTTGCTGATGGTAGGGCAAGGGTGTGGAGGCGCCGTCATGAACGTTACGCCAAGTATTGTGTACAGGAAGTTGACAGATTTCGAGGCAGAAGTGTCATGGTGTGGGGTGCTTTCTGTGGCAATGCACGTTCCAGGCTTCTTGTCATCCGTGGCAACCTCAACGCTGATGCTTACCGCGACCAGGTACTGGCACCAGAACTTCTGCCTTTTATGGCAGCAGTCATGGACCCGGTTTGATCTTCCAACACGACAATGCCAGACCCCACACAGCAATTTTGACAAGGAATTTCCATCAGAATGCGGGAGTCAACGTCATGGACTGGCCGTCAAGGTCTCCTGACCTCAATCCCATCGAACACGTCTGGGATGCTCTTGGCAGAAGTCTGCGCACTCTCCAGAACCAACCACAGAATTTGCAAGATCTTGGCACCATTTGCAGCAACAATGGCGTCATCTTCCCAATCATGTGTTCACAAGCATCACAAGGTCCATGCAGAGGCATTGTGTGGCAGTTGTCAACGCACATAGTGGGCATACACGCTACTGAACTTGTGTGCCATCAGATTCTCATGCTTGGGACTTATGATTTAAACTGTTAATGTTATTACCAAATACCGTAGGTGCTTGGAACAAATTATGGTGACCACCGTTAATTAAAATCCTTCTTTGGACATTAATGATTAAAAATTACATTTGTCCGTTGTATATCATATATGGGATTACTTTTAAAAATGTGAAGTTTTTAATTTGACTCAGTATATTTAGAAATGTTATCTTTTATGAACAATATTACACCTTCCAAGGTGCATCCAAATTGTGATAGCTTAATTCCGGGTAAATGAAAGTATTTTTTTCCTGGAAGGGAAAAATCAGTATTGTCTTTTTCATGTGACCAGGTGGATGATGTTGTCTAAATCGCTGATAAGTCGGGCCTGGACTTATCCCTATGGATAGGCAGATAACTGTCCTCTAGTTCTGAAGACTTATGTTCTGATATTGGCAAATGGGGAGTCTTGGTTAGGGGGCATATCCAAAACTATAAATTTCTCATATTTGTAGTAACCCCACTTCCCATCCAGTGCCGTAGCCAGCCGGGGGGCAGTTGCCCCCTGGATTTTTTTTAGAAAGCACTTTTCCTTGTGAAAGTTAACTTGAATAAGAAATGAATAATCTTATTTGCCCCCCCTGACTTCAGTTTATTTCACTGGGATGCAGTAAGGTCATTCGGTATTCTCTATGTAAGATGACATTGTCCTGTCGACTAAATATTTCTAGTCTCTCAACACTGTTCGAAATGGCGCATAGTTCTTCTGTATGTGAAATCCTGTTTGTGTAGCTGCTCATGTACATAGTCCACATCCAGTTGTGTAATATGCTGTTGTTCTTTTCACTTGTGAAAATTCATGTTTTAGTTCAACAATAGTGTCAGTTACTTTCTAAATAACTCCTTGCCCGTGTTCAAGTTCATCTTTTACGGTCCTGTTTTATGTCTGTTTTCATGTTTTTAGGCCGTGCTTGGCATATAGTGGAACACAGAACTTACTGTGGCAATGTTATTACGTCCACAAAATCCATCAGTGAATGTACAAATAGAATCCGACCCATGAAAATCCAGGTTTGAATAGGCCTTCAGCCACCCATGCCTTCCATATGCTTGTCGTAAGAGCCGACTAAAGGGATCCGGTGGTCAGGCTTGCTGACTTGGTTGATGTCATCGCAGGGGTTGAAAATTTATGAAAAATGTTACTTGACCAAAGGTAAGTATGACCATCATTCTTATTGGCCCTCGTTTACAGCATGCAGTAACGCATAGCTCCCAAAGTTTACCTACATATTTAATAAACTTAAGTTTTACACTGACACAATGTTTTACCCCTTTCTCAAAAGACATTATCAGTTGAACACCGCGAGCACTTAACACTTGAAATACCAGTCAACAAATCCAAACTGAAGTGCGCAATTCAATTCCATTTGTGTAAAATACCCCGCAAAATATTCAAAACCCAATAACTTTCAATTAACTTTGGTACAAAAGCGCATGCATTAAATGAAAGTCGCAAATGTATAAAAACAGCTTGCGTAAATATCCAATGAAACTGTTTCAGCATGCGTACAAAGGAGCTAATTTCCGAAACACAATTATGAGCCCAGTTTACTTTCCGAGTCAAGCCTATATATTTACAACAGTTATAAACATCTAAAACATTATTTCCTTCTTTTTTTTTGTTCAATAATTTCGGTAAAACCCAATCGAGTGGTGAATAGATGAGTGAAAAAATATTGGTTACCCAATGAAAAATGTAATAACCAATTAAAATAGAAACCCTAGAGTAAAAACTCAAATTCTCGAAAAGTTATCTGGAGCTCTGTTATACTATCTGGTTATAAAAATGTGTTCATTGTATATCTGGACTTATGTTTGTAATAAATATTTTATTTATTGTATTCAAAATTTCATTCAATATTTGTTTCCATTCATTTCCGCAAATTCATGTGCCAAGTGAGCGCACAACTCACGGTTGTTTACAGCAATCACAGTCACCGCTATTGACGTCTTGAATGAACTTTAGTTGCCAGAACATGGATACAATATATCATAAATGCCATGCTTTGACTCATTAAAAGTCATATTTGTTGTAGTTTGACTTATGTGTCAACCAAGTTTTCGCATTCGAGAGCGTGTGAACCTTGACAGTGACTGGTGTATTCAACTAAAATGTTTCATCAAAGCTAGGCCTAACGAAGCTTCAAAAGTCGGCACGAGACCTACCTCGCGTGCAGATTCCAAAAAATGTAGTCAACTGTCCACCATTCAGTTTCTAAGAAGCATGGGCCACATATGGAAGTGTCACTACGATTTATCAATGAAACAAGCCTGGTTCTCATTGTTGACCTGCCTGACATCGATGTGTATTAATTCCATTGGTTGACTGGTGTAACTGTATGCAAATTAGATTGCCAGTCTTGGACAATAGCAAAATATTTTAGCCAATGAAATATCCTAATATGATCACATGATTACATTCTCGTGAAACTTAACACAGTTCATTTTGTGTGCTCTACTTGTCCACAGGCATGCTAGAAACGTATATTACTCGCCCAACATCTAAGTGTTACTTGGCATGGGCATTGGGCAATGGTATTTTTTAACCCCTGCATCATATGCCAATTGCATGGATCGATGCTCATGATGTCAATCACTGGATAGTGTGGTACAGACTCGATTATTTACAGACTGACGTCACATAGCTGTACTATTGCTGAGTATGGTGTTCAACAAACAAACAAGCAAACAAATGGGGAATCCCAAAACATGATCTGATGTATGGCACAAAGAATTCAGGCTACGTTTTGTCAGCTTACCCGTCTATAGTTCAGATCTGTGCAAAACTAAACACAACACACCTTGATGACCTTGACTCTAGACCCTAATACAACCCTGTAGACCTTGTCTTTCGATTTCTTATCAAAGACTCCACACACACATTGTAGTGCAAGATAATTCCACTTCTGAACAGTTTTCTCCCAAACACGTCGCTTACCACAAAATTATTTATTTTTGGTATAGCCCTGTTCCATTTCTTATGATTAGTGATAATAACTGAACATGCTTAAAGTATATACTTGTGTATGACAAGTTGAGTTTCTTTTCAACAAAACAATTTCACAAATAAATTGTTGTGATCCACCTAAATGCCCCATTGTGTATGCGTGCATGCGCCCCTCTTAGGCATCTTTTTCTGACCGTTCAGTTGTCCGCCCAGTCAACATGTATGACATGCTTTTTAGACTGTGGGTGAGTGAGTGAGTTGGGTTATACATGCCCAGTCATCATGTATCACATGCTTTTTAGACTATAATAGGTGAGTGAGTTTGGTTTTACATGCCCAGTCAACGTGCATCACATGCTTTTTAGACTGTGGGTGAGTGAGTGAGTTGGGTTTTACATGCCCAGTCAACATGTATCACATGCTTTTTAGACTGGGTGAGTGAGTGAGTTGGGTTTTACATGCCAAGTCAACATGTATCACATGCTTTTTAGACTGTGGGTGAGTGAGTGAGTTTGGTTTTACATGCCCAGTCAACATGTATCACATGCTTTTTAGACTGTGGGTGTGTGAGTGAGTTGGGTTTAACTCCACTTTTAACAGTATTCCAGTAATATCGCAGCGTGTCAGTTTAATGTGGGAGGAAAGCCCGAAGGGATGCAGGTCTCTGACATTTACCACTTTGGTGAAACCGACGAGCAAGGGCATGGTGCTGACAAACCTAGAAACATAATCGGGGCGAACCGGGATTCGTGTCCACAATCATAGCTTTCTGGCGTGCCAAAGGGACGCAACTCTGCACAGCGAATCACAGTGATTTAGACGACTGGGCCCCCTGCCCCCTATTAGACTATAGTGATAATTTGTAATGTTAGTTGATAACAGAATTCTATTTTGCTCAAACCATTTAATTAATCTTCAATTTGTTACTTCAGCCACAGCATCACCCAATAGCACATCATTTTATAACCAAACTGTGCAAGTCATACTTTTCTTCAACCACAAATTATTCATAGTTTCATTTATGAATTATTTCTTTGCAGCTCACGGGCCTGTCAAATTAAAGACTGGGGAGTTCACAAGTCCAACTGTTTGAAGAGGATGGATTCTGAGTGTTGTAGATCTACATCCTCAAGCTATGGCCATGATAGAACAAGGATGTTTACAGGTGAAAGTGACAAAGCCAATAGTAGGAGTGCCACTGACACATCTGCATCACTGACCAGGTCAGATGGGAACTCAGTACATGCTGATTTCCACACAGCTGATGACAGACTGATGGCATCCAGTGCGCAGTCTGCCCCAGTCAGTGATGACAGGGGTTTATCTTACCTCCACAACAATCTACATCTTCATGACGTACCAGTGTTTCATGTGGACAAAGCTTACTGTGACATAAATGTGAAAGCAAACAAACAGAAGTTCAAGTTGCAGATTCAGCACGACTGGACAGGACAAGAAATACTGAAACTATTTGCATGTCATGTACATATTCCTTTAGAAAGAATGAAAGTAGTACACAGAGGTAAAATAATGACTGACGTGTTGATCAGAGAATATATAAACCCAAAGTCAGTGTTTCAAGTGTTTGGTGAGAAATCAGCCGATGAAACAGGACTTGACCAGAGAGATATTGTTATCATGATGGCTCAGATGAACATTGACAGAAATAGAGCCGTGCAAGCCCTGCAGACGAGAGGCAACCTAATTGATGCCATCTTTGAGGCTTCTAACAAGATTTGAAAATATGCTAACAATTTATGGCCAATCATAGGACATAATGTCATAGAGACTAATTAAGACAGGCACCTGAGACATCCAAAATGTTCTTATTATTTCTTTTTGGCTGTGCTCATGCATAACTATCGATCACCCTTAGTTATGTTTCAAATATATTTGTACCCAAACCAATATTTATTAGAGAAATTAAACATAATTTATATGAAAATGAAAGCGATCGTTGTATTTTCATAATTTGATGTGTCAAAAAATGTGGATAATAACTATTGTGGTATGTTGATTAAATCTAAATGTGCAAATCCCTGTGAATGATAGGAAAAGTAGACTTCTATCTAATACTGAAACGGATGAACTCAGATCCAATTTAGGATACGAGCTGAAATTGTGAATCTGTTTAATGGCCAATCTAGCTTTGGATCGTGCCTGAACAATCAACATGTGAGAGACAGGAACAAGTTGTCATGGAATGACACAAAGACTTGGGGCGGAAACTAACATTTGTCTTTTGTAAAAACTTAAGTTTTTGAGATCTGACTTAGCGGAGCCTGAGGCTGAGGGTGCTATTCATAAAGCTGCCAAGTCCAAAACTTAGCTAAGTCTGCAAAGGAAAACTGCAAAAGTAATTTTCGTAGTACTTTCCATTGTGATCATGGAGACAGAGACAGACACATCATCATACATAATATATCTAACAGATAACGATTGAAATGACTAAAGAAAGGAAGATATAGTCGACTCCTCGTCTGTCTGTCCATCAGTAATCATAATGTTTCCTGACCACAAATCGACCTTTCTATATTTTTCAACTAAATAGGCAGATATAACAATCAGATCCTGAAGTGGTCCTTTTTTCAATTTACAGATATTGGGCATTTTTATGTTTCTTGATTTCCATGGAAACAATTTGTACTTAGCCTCATTTGGGGTTGGATTTTGTTTCTGGGGCTGAAGTGGTGCCTATTACTGTTCACAATATTTTCAAAATGTAATTTTTCCCTTTTTCCATGGAAGCAAGTTAACTGAGCTGAAATTGAGGTAGGTGTCGTTTCCGGAGCAGAACTAAAAACTATACTTTTTCATCCAAACTTGGTACAGGTATTAATCCCAGACTGAAGTGGTGTCTTTTACTATTTAGGAAGTTATTTTTTTATTTTTTTCACCCAAACTGTTTTTGTCAGATGGGATTGAACTTTTGTACTACTTGCGATATGCACATCTCGTCATCGGACCCTCACCTGGATTGTACTGTGTGTTCTCCAACAGAACAAGCTGCACTCTAGTTGTTAGATGTCTGCAATGTCAACACCATGGCATAGATAACTTACAGGCCTACCTATTTTCCTTTCCTTCCTCTACGGATATTTCACTCCCAAAGCAGCCTCAGAAGACTGATCCTTCAGTCAAACCCATGCCTTTAGATGCTGAAGGTTCAGACAATTGGGATGAAGACGAAGCGTTCATGACAGCATAGGTTGCAATTCTCTCTAAGCATCGTTCCTCATTAATGCAAGCTGCGTTTGGCAGTGATGTTCTGGTACCTGTGAAGACAAAGGCTGCACATCTATTGGAGACTTTTGTGCAGGGTTTGCACACTCCAAAGAAGATGATGCAGGCTGTGTCCTCTAGTACTAATGTACTGGTTGCACACCAGTCTTCAAGAGGTTCTCTTGCTGATGTCTCGGCCTCTGACTCACCATTTAACACAGGATGCGTTCCAGAAGAAGTGCACATCTCACAGGGACTGCAGTTCCAGCTACAAGAAGTTATCTAAGAAGTCATCTTCCAAGAACAAGGACAAGGTGAAATTATGACCCAAATGCAAAACTTGGTTAACTTTTTCTTCTTAAAATATCCCTCATCAGACCGTGCCTAATCCTCCACCAGCTTTAATTTTTCTCCTTTATCAAGTAGATCTACTCTACGATTCCATCCAACCCAGATTCATCTTATCAAGTCAGATATGCAGAGATCATTGAACCTGACTACAATGAAGAGAAAGTTCCTGAGGCAGAACAAATGTCAGCCTTTGATAATCATGACCTTCTGTCCTGGATAGCGAATGGTCTACTAATATCTTCACCTACAAGGAACTCCGCATCCAAAGATCTTATGACAAATGGAGACTGAACACTTTGATTATTCCAATTGCACTGATTACTGAAGTGGTCGAGACCCTTGATGTATCTTTTGAAAAGGCTTCCAAAACTGAGATTCTGTATTTATGCAAAGAAATATCCATTATGTTCCATACTGCCCTTTACACAGGCCCCCAAAATGGATGAAGATTACCACATCATGTCTGACTCAGAGTTGCAAGGTATAAGATAAGAAGTTGATGCTAATAGAAACCATTGCAAGACGAATCTTCTATCCACTGTGTATGACGAGATCAATTAGTGAGGCCATGATTAATGCTCTTGACACCCCCAAGGAAAAGATTTTTTGGCGACAATGTGGGCACAGCAAAATAATATGTCCAAGACATAGTCTCTCAGTTAGTTGCGGTGTCTTTGAATCTTTTAAAAAGGCAGGGTCAGGTGTCAAACTCATCCTGGCCAGATGTTAGGACAAAACCTGTTCTCAAACAATCTTGGGGTGCTCCTACAATCCTTAATTGCCAAGTTAATAACATTTCCAGAGAGGTCGCTGTTGATTCACGGGATCAGATGCTCATTAAATCCATGAAGACGATAATAAGGTTACATTCAAACGATTCAGATTACTAAAGGATTTTTTAAGAACAAATACTTGGGCACTGAGAAGGCAAAAGAGGCCAGATATCAGAGGAACAGAGGTTCATATTGTGCCAACCCGTACAAACACATTAACAGAACTTGATGAGGGAAACAATCAGAAAGATCTTGCCGACAATATTGAAACATTGACAGCAAACAACTGGGAACATCCAAACCCACGTAATTCCATCTTCCCGAGGCAAGAGAGTTAACGGACTACAAAAGTCCAGTTCCCACCCTTGCCGAACTAGGCTGGTATTATGGAGTTACATTTTGTCTGGACTAACAAGTCTATGCATAGTCCAATCAAAATCGCGCACCGAAATCAAAATCCTGTTCGTAAACTGTCGTGCAGATTTCGATCGATTGCAGGATTTGCAAAGCATGTGCACCGCCAACTCGTCAGCAGATATTTTCCAAATTCTTTCATGTTTTTAATCAAGGTGCACACATGATGTGATGGGGGCGGTCGGGTAGCCCAGTGGTTAAAGCGTTCGCTCGTCACGCCGAAGACCCGGGTTTGATTCCCGACATGGGTACAATGTGTGAAGCCCATTTCTGGTGTCCCCCGCCGTGATATTGCTGGAATATTGCTAAAAGCGGCGTAAAACCATACTCAGTCAGTCAGACATGATGTGATGCATTTTGCGATGTAAGACCCGTTGTATCACAATATAGATCTTGATTATCGTCACCATTTTGTGTGAAGCAAACGCAAGTGATACGAGAGGTGGAATCTGATTGGTCCATAAGAGAGGCTTAGAATGGACATAACTGGTAATAGCCACTGGTGGCGCTACGATCTAGCTAAGTAATTCTAGCCTAGTTCGGCAAGGGTGGAAACTGGACCTTTAAAATCAGTTAACTCTCTTGCCTCGGGAAGATGCGTAATTCCAGTATGTCTAACAACTGTGGGTGGAAGACTGCAGCTTCTTTGGGCAAATTGGGAAGTACTGGAGGACCCCTTTGTAACCAATATCCTATGGACGGCATACAAACCAACTTTCAAGGAAACACCACTGTTGACTCTTGACCCACCAAGTATGATTTACCCAAAAGGAAGGAAGTATTGCTGACAGAGGCAATTAAAAACCTTCTGAAGGAAGCTGTAGAAGTTATACATCCTAATCAACTGTACCCATGAAGAACTCCACCAAAATGTTAGGGTTGATTTACAACATAATAAAGAATTTTCTTGACAAACATGACAAGTTTTGAATTGTCTTCCTCAACTTTCGAAGGATGATCAAGGAAAAAGACTTCCCGGTGAGCATTGATTTCAGGATGCTTACCTGCACATTCCAATTAATCAGGTTTTTTGACTATCTCAGATTTGTGTACAAGGACAAGCACTGTCAATGGTAAGTCCTACCATTTGGTATTTCATTGGCCCTGTGGTTATTCATTTGAATAACCAAACAAGTAGTGACATACTTACACAAGAAGGGCATAAGATATGCATTCTACCTGGACGAGAGGTGCCATAGAGGCCTGTGAGAATATGGTTCCCCAGCCTACTCAAGCTTTCGGAAAAAACAAGCATTGAACTTCCACATTGGCCCTAACTGTTGAGTCATCTAGACTCATGACAGGTGCATCCAAGACCACAACAATATACTCTACTCATGTGCAGCATATCAAAAACATCAGTTTTTAATTTCTCACACATAAGATCCTATTTTTACTGACCTTAGCTACTGCAGCCAGAATGCCTGATATCCATGCCCAGGACTACAGTTGAATCAGATTTGATAATGTCCTCACCAAGCCACTATCATGACTTAAAGATAGGATTTTATGGCAAAGAATCAATTACTAGAACAACCAGATAGACAATTTCATGTTCTGACCTTGTCTTGTACCCTTTGTAGAGAGGATATAGAAGACTTATTTTTATGTCCAGTGAGAGCACTAGGAACAGCCTTGGACAGAACTAAAAGTTAACGGAGAAAGATGAAGAGACTATTCATACCACTCACCATAGGAGTCACAACAGGAGTATCTCGGTCAAACGTTGACATTGGCTTTGGATGCGAATTGTTCCATCCAGACATGAAAGGCTACTTTTGGCGATCTGATTCTGTGTTTGCCAAACATTGTCTGAGAGACATTGTGACGAGGACGTAGAGGGTATACATCAATTCGGACGTCAGGTTGTGGCACAACATTTAACAGTACCTAACAGGAGAATATTGGAAATGGCTCACCCAACACTTGATGTTTGTCTGTAGAATTTAAATTATTGACTTAAATAACTAACCAAGGACCCATGTTTTCTGATCTATATGTCAGATTATCAACATGAGTATTAATAATGAATAGTTGATCCATGACTCTTGTTCTTCTATTGAAATCATTTGTAAAGTAGCTCAGTAACGTCTGTGTTATATCCTTACATAGTCCACATAATCATGACGATTAACTCATACTTCCCGATGGAAGGGTGGTATTCCTACTTTACAAGGATTGTTGTTCCTG